AATCAGACTCAAAGAGCGCTCATCAAAACACCTTCAAAAAACTGGAGCGAGGTAATGAGTGAGGTAGTACAGGGTTCAGTCCTGGGCCCAGTGCTTTTCAACATTTTGATTAATGATTTGTATGAGAAGGTGTAGGGAATGCTTATCAGATTTGTCAATGGAACAAAATTGGGTGGGATACCCTGAAAGATAGGAGGGGAAAATCAAAGTGATTTTGATAGCTTGGAGCACTGGGCTGAAAACAACAGAAAGACATTTAAGAGGGACAAATGACAAGCTCTGCACCTAGGAAAAAGAAACCAAATTCAGAGTTACAGGATTTGGGATGCTTGGCTCAACAGTACTACAAATGAGAAGAATCTTGGACATGTTGTAGATCACAAGCTGAATATGAGTCAACATGATTTGGCTGCAAAAAAGGCAAATGCTGTTTTGGGCTGCATTAACATAAATATCACTTCCAAGTCACATGAAACACAAGTTCCTCTCTCTTCACCACTGGTCAGGCCTCATCTGGAGTCCTGTGTCCAGTTCTGGGCAGCACCGTTTAAGAAAGATGCAGACAAAGTGGAACGTTGTCAGAGGAGGGCAATGTGTTCAGAGAAAAGGTCTGGAAACAAAGCCCTGTGAGGAAAGATTGGAAGAGTTGGGCATGTTTAGCTCTGAGAAGAGGAGACCAAGGGGAGATAAGATAGCATTCTTCAAGTATCTGAAAGGCTATCACACAGGGGACTGCTAGGAGCTCTCCTTGGTCATCCCAGAGCCTGGAACATGGAAAAACGGGCTCAAGTTATGGGAAGCCAGATTCCAGCTGAACATCAGGAAAAACCTCCTGAGTGTTAGAGTAAGACAACAGTGGAACCCGTTACCTAGGGAGATCGTGGGCTCTCCATAATGAAGGCAGGCTTGGATCCAGCATGGATAACAGGCAAGTTGCCTGTGGCAACAAACAGCATATGTATGTATGCACGTGTGTAACTGCCTTGTGTGTAAATTGCTTGCTTGGGTGGGGTCAACTCTAACCACTCACTCTCAATCCAGACCTGATTGGAGGCGTTCAAGATGCAGCCGGACAGCCATCTGTTATAGATGCTTTGACTTTGACTCCTGCGCTGGGTGAAATGTTGAGCCTGCTGGCCAAATTGGCCCCTTCCAACTCTTCTATGGCCTCCCTTGACACCAGTGCTGGTGCAAAGTACGGAGAAGGGCAACAAAAATTATCAAGGGGCTGGGACAGCTCCCCTGCAGGCAGCAGCCTAACAACTGGGACTGTTCCACTTAGAAAAAAGCCAAGTAATAGGAGACCTGACAGAGGTGTTTAAAGTAACACATGATGTGGAGAAAGTACATTTTCTCCCTCTCCCACAACACTTGAACATCATCCCATGAGGCTGATTAGTCGGAGGTTTAGGACAGATGAAAGGAAGTACTTCTTCACACAGTCTTTAGATAAACTATGGAATTCGCTGCCATGGGAAGTGGTGATGGCCGCCAAACTGGAAGGCTTTGAAAAGAGATTGGACAGATTCATGGATGAGTAGGTTATCAGTGACTACTGGCCTTGCTGGCGATGTGTAACTTCCTTTTCCAGAGGTGGCATGACTGCATACACCAGCTGCTGAGGAGCTTGGGCAGGTGAAGGTCTTGCACCGATCCTGGTTGAAGGATCATGTGGGCAGCTGGGAAGGGTGCTGGACTAGATGGAGCTTTGGTCTGATCCAGCATGGCTCTTCTTGTGTTCTTATGCTGGCAACAGCTCTGTAAGTCCTCAGACTGAAGTCTTTCATGTCATGTGCTATCTTTTTGTCTGAAGTTTCCAGGGATGGAAAATGGACCAACTATGAGCAAACCAGGTGCTGTATCACCAAGCTATTTCTCTTTTAAAATCTGAGCAGCCCTGTGAGTAAGTGTGCTATTATTCCTGTTTTACAGATCAGGGTATGAAGGCAGGCAGTTCCTCAAGGGCAAAGTGGTCATGCCAAAAAGTATAAATCCACCCTCAAAGGATTAGGGAAATTATAACTCAGCGAGAACGCTTTGCTAGAGGTGTTCTCAGAATGAGACTGGAAGGATTCTTGTGTATGTGGTGGGCATACAAGATTAAATCTTCCCAAGTCTCTGGCATAGTTGTGCCCATCAAAATCACTGGCTGAACTGCCATTTGAACACAAGGCACATTTTCTCCTCTGGGGGACTGTGTTGACTTAGTAATATCAGGTATGAATTAAAACACACATACAGAGTGAAAGAGAAAGTGGGGGAGGGAGAGAGGTACAGGGAGAAGGGGAGAGAGGTAAAGAGAGAGAGAGAGAGAGAGAGAGAGAGAGAGAGAGAGAGAGAGAGATTTAATGACCTATCAGCTGTAGGGAAGAAGTTAACATCATGTGATGGATGCCTCTTTTCTCCTCCCCTCTGCAGCTTCCTGCTTTCTTCTCTCATCAGCTCCAAAGAATTCCCCAACCCTCTGAAGATTCTGAACATGTGAGGGGGGCCTGCAGGAGGGAAGGGTTACTGCTCCCTGCCTGTCCACCGCAGCTGTGTCAACAGAAGGACTTAACTGAATTTCACCCATACAGTTCTGTCCAATAGGTCACATCCAATGTTAGCCTGACTTAAGTTCCATTCATTTTCATGGTACTTTAAGCAGGACAAACACTGGATCTCACCCACGGATTTCTTGGGAACCTGTCCATTCATTGAACAAATGGGATACTAGTCCTGGCCCAAGAGTGGAAGGGATACCAAACCGATCAGTCAATAGGCTCCCCTTCCAATTGCTGCACTCATTCCTCAGTCTACCTTAAGGAATTTGACCTGGGCAACCCCATTGCTATGTCTGGGAGCCAGGAAGCTGCTTTGCATCTGCCAGCTAACCTCAAGGCATTCCCTTTCATCACTTCTGAGAGTGAGATGGGTACTGACCTGTAAGATGGGGAAAAAGTGTGCACCACATATGAGTTTCTGTTGAAAGGTATTTTCATTCCAAAAGCATGCCCCTAATTTTGCCCATGCAAACTATGTAGCCTGCAGCACATCCAAAAACATGCTCCACCGTCTATTAACCAGGGTACTGTGAGTGAAGGAAGGGCTGGATGCAGTCCTGGAAAGATGCACACCAACCATGGCCATATTGACCCTTCCCAGACATGTATATTCTCCAGATATTTGTAGACATACACACTTTCTGCTTAACTGTGTATTTCCTTCCTTATTGTCCATAACAGTATCCTTATTATCCATGCATACAGATGGGAGTGAGTTCCGTTGTATACTGCTTTCTAATGCTCTTAGCTTCAACAAATGAACTGAGCCCTAAAGTAAAGGAAACAGTGGCAACTGAGAGGGGATATTGATTGCAATGCAGTTAAAATTTGCCCTGACACCTTGCGATATGCCTGTATGCAACAACGCCCAGAGATGCACTGCACTGCACTGCAGTCCCAAGGATCTTGGCATTGCTTGAAGCTCTCCATTTACATACACCCCACCTGACATAATGATAAATTCCAGGGCCTGTTGCAGCACACAGAACAAAGACTCTGTTTTGAAAATAAGAGATGTAGATCACGTATGCACAAAATGATAAGCCGACATTCTGGAAAATCCTGGCTTAACATTCACAAGTGAATGTGCTGGCGTTTGATGTTTGTGCACTCCTGTCTGCCCCTTCTTCTGGAGGGAAGGGCTTCAGCAACCACAAGGAAAAGGTTCGGCACTACTGCCAAACTGGGACCTGGGTTGTTGCTCTCCTAACAGTGTGAAGCCAGAGTTTTGAGTTGGATCGTGATACCTGGTTCATTTGAGAGTGATAAAAGCAAATACTGCATATAGGCTAATTTGTGCACTGTTATCAGGGGAAAAGTGCCCAGGAGGCAATGAGAAACATAAATAGGGGGCAAAAAAGGGGAGAAAGAAGGTGCAGCAGAAAGGGGTGGTGACATCATCACCCCCCCCCCCCCACTAATGTAATCCTCTCAATTTTAATTGTTGAAACATTGTTGACTAGCTGGCAACTGTGCACAAATTAGCCTATATGCAGTCTTGTCTTATCCTCCCTTTGATCACTGAAGCAGGCAAGGGAATTGACGAGGCAGTCTTACACATATTAGATTGCTCCAAGTGCACACTTGAGCAGCTGTGAAGAACAGACAAAAATATAATTTAAAACATGTGGAATTTTCAGTGGCCCAAAATATAAATGCAATAGAAACTGCAGTATTGTGAGGCTCTGAAAAGTAAACTTTAAAAACAGTGGCAAAACAAACAAACAAAAAACCCAGAAACAAGGTAGATTCTGCTGCAAAGGACACTGGGAAAAATGCCAGATCCAGCTGGGAGACAGAGGGGGAAGGAGGGTGAGAACAATCCATGGTGAGCCTGATCATCCCTCAGGCACATTGTGTGTTGTTCAGTGAATAATCACCCACTATAGGTTATTCACAGGGTTGCTTAGTGTGCTGCTAACTTGCTAATTTACCATTTGGCATACGGACTGAAGACATATGAGGTAGCTACCATGTTGAACCTAAGCAGGTCTGTGTATGGCCCATGGTTGGAAGGAAGACCACCTGGGAACAGCATGTCGCTGATGAAAGAAAGGTGGGATCCAAATCTAGTAAATAAAAAACATTTGTGTCTTTATTTTTGCCTAAAATGTTGATGTGACCATGACAATCGTATTGACTAACAAGTCTAAAATATAAGAACTTTCCCCCTGTCTGGCTTTTGTTCCCTGCTCAGTGAACAGCCGGTAAACCTGAATGACTGTGAAACAGCTCTTTGAAACCATAGTTAAACAAGCCATTTCTTTTCTTTCTTTGCAAACCTCAAAACACAGGAAAACTCAACTGCAGCTTGTGTGCCAGTTGGTTCACGTGGCTCCTGCATGCGCACACTATTCTAATATGTCCCTACAATTTCCTTGTTTTGCCCATGAGCATTTTTTTTTCATAATATGGAAATGTCAGGAAAGAATTGCAAAGCACATCAGCTGACTTTACCATGCAAATCTGGCTCATTCGATTTGGGGCTGCTTCTTGATCGGCGTTCTGTTTTCTTCAAAGCAGGCACTCCTCCACCTCCGAGTCCTCCGCTGTTAGCTCCCCCATTCGCAGCGCCGTTGTGTGTCTTGACAGTACCATTGTACACCGTTGTACAGTTTACCAGATGGGTCTTGTAGATGGATGAAGGAGGGCTGTTCAAACGGTTCTGGCGATCGATCTGCCTGTCTTTGATTTTTTTGTGCTGTGGTTTGTTGTATTGATCTTCCCTTATGTAATTAGACATTCCATATATAATTTCTGAAATTAAAGAGACAGAGATCATTCTGCTGTACAAACCCCATTGGTATTTATTTTCGGTGGAAATGCACACGGTGTCTGGGTTCAGTTTATCAGGCCAAGAATAAGCCAGAGCTTGCTGTGGACTCACCACCTTTCCAGCATGGCTAGAAGTCTCAAAGCTTCCATTTTACACATAAAATACAATTGGTTCTATCATCCAAACTGTAAATTGTGGTCAATCATAACTATGGGTAGTGCAGCCGTTCCCAATCCAGTGCCCTCCAGATGTTGTAGGATTACAATTTCCATCAGGCCCAGCCAGTGATGATGGGATAAGTACTACAAAGCAGTTCACTGGGGAATGTTGTGTTAGTGGAGACAAGCCTGTTTCACACTATGGTTTACACAGCTATCTTATTGACACAAGCCACCATTAAGATTATTCACAGTGTGCGGGGTTTGTGCATAACACTAAACTATGGAAGCTTCTTATTTTGTCCTTGTGGCCATGGAGAAGGAAAATGAATAGTGGCTTATTAGCAACTAGGCTGAGGTTTACTGCACTTGTTCCAGGGTGAGGCTGTCTTGCAGCTTAATCCTGATTGAAGATAATGGGAGTTGTAATCCAACACATCTCCAAACACCACACTGGGGAAAGCTGCATTAAGCTATGGTTTAGTGTCTGTAGTTGACACTGAGGCATGACCTGTACAATGGGCATGATCTAAGAATGCATGGCTGTACCTATTCTCCCAAAACCCAGCAGTTTACTTCAAGAGCTAAGAGCGTCATCCAAGTAGGTTGCAGACACCATATGGAGAAAGATGTGTGAAGAATACTGAAGATACTTTCATAACTTCTGCAGAAACTTCAACAGTTAACTACTGCTGTTGACAGGATTCAAGCACAGTTTCACTGAACACATTCCTTACAACTTACAAGCTGTACATGCTTTGGTTGTTAGTATATGTAGAAGCTCTGGTTTCTATAGGGTATACATTTTATATACATTGGACTAAAAATAACATTGATTGAAGTGATTTTGCAAATGAGTAAACATCTGCTGTAACCTGGAATATTTTGTATTTCAGGTTTTCAAACATAAACAAGAGACCTAGAAACTCACATGGGCACAATTAACATTTTGAAGCATAAGCCAATCTGATCATCTTGTCCATTTTTTTAAAAAAAGGCGTTGGCCATCCTTTAATTTAAAAATGTTCTGCCAAGCAACTATAGCCAAGAACTGCAGGTGACCACAACAGATGTTCTATATTTTTTATAGAGAATTTTTCCAGGACACTGAGGTTTTTGAGAAGGGGATAGGGGACAAGTTTCTTCATTTGGCATAATCAGCCACTCTGATGTGGCCACTTCCCTGTCCTTCATTTACTCCAGTACTAAACATTTCCAATGAAATTCTATTTAGCTTCCCAACACACATACCAATGCAACGGAATTCAAAATTTTACATTGTCCCTCTGCAAATTTCCCAATGTATTTTGCAACCTAGAGTTTTCAGAGAAAACAGAATAAACACCTTTGACCTGCGTGAAGAATTAACCTTTTTTGAGTTGCAGACTTCAGGAATTTTTAAGTATAAATTCTAGGGTCAAAATCATATTCCAAGGTCTATTAAAAACATTACGCACACAGTCCTATGGGCTGGTGTTTAATAGATAGAGGGTTCTGACATCCACTGTCCTAACCCTAATGGTGAGCACCTGCTCCAGGTGGAGTTCCAGAGTCTTGGCACCCTCCCCACCTTCTTTAGTTGTAATCTGGGATAGGTGAGCCAGCTCTGCTACCCTGGGTAGGAATGTGGGTTGACAAGCTGTAGATTTGGCAGAACCATGGCCTTTCCCCTCCCCTCCCTGCCCACTTTGCCAGCCCGTTCTCTCTTCTGCCCTCTTCTGAGCTTGCCAAAGGAACCCCGGGAAAGGTGCCATCTTGAACCTTTTTGCAGTAGCTGGGAGAAGAGGAGCCCAAGGAGGGGAGTCCCCTTGAAAGCCCTAGCGATCTCTACAGTCTCAGAGGGGAAAATCGTACTCGCCTCTTCAGGAAGGCATAAGATTGCTGTCTAAATGTTTAAATCTGCTTGAGTTTGGAACACATCCCAAGACCTAGGAGTTAAAAGCACTATGGAGTAAAACTGGAAAACATGTTTCATGGTTTTATACTTTGTGAAAAAGACAGGTCTCTTACCTTCTAATCTTAAATATGTGTCAAAAAATCATAGTAAGCTGAGCTAAGATAAACTTAGCTTAAATTTACAGTGCAGCACCTGAAAGTGTGGGAGAAGAAGGAGCCTAAACGTCCAAATGTGGTTAAACCTTAGCAGTGCTTCATTTGCTGCTCCACTGCAGTCAGATGGAAAACTAGAGCCGTATATGTAGGTGAACAGTGAACTCCCTCAGCTCTAGAGTGAGTTCTGCTCGCAACTCCCTGAATGAGAGGAGTAAAAAATGCCCTGGACACCCATGAATTGTGGCCCCAAAGTTTCGAACCTCTTGTCTACTCAGTCCTACTGCTGTGAGCATGTCTTGTCTTACCAACTTACTTTGTTGTAATTTACAGTTACAATTCTGATTGCACAATGAGTACAGTCCTGTGTGCAGGTGACAGACACTTAAAAGGTTAAAGTGCCATAGTAATTTAAACATATAAAAGAAAAAAGAAGGTATAACATGCAATATACACACGCATTCAAGTGCTGGTAGCTTTTGCGTACATCCTGTGTCAGTGCAGGTGGTGTTTTCAGTTTTAACCGGTGTAATTAGCATTTTAGGAATTCCTAGTTATGCTTGCTGCTCTAAGTGAAAGAGGTTGTTTAAAACACCATGAAAGCAGCCCTGTTTCCTTGATGCCAGAGCACACAGTGTGGCAGTAAGTGCTATCTTGTCACCCCCACACACTCATGTGCAGGGCATTCTGTACAGGGGGGCACACTTAGGGAGTGTGCTGCAGGTGTTTAAAAGACACATGCAAGTGAAGAATGGACGTATTAGGATTGTTCGGATAGAGACTCCTCCACCACACTCCCCACTCGGAGGAATGTTGAGTGTATTGGATGTCTTCCTGCCCTGCACACTGATACAGACCAATCAAAGTTTCTGCTCAAGGCTAGAGGAAAGATAAGTGCCTGTCCAAGTGGTTTTACTCTTAATTTATACCTTTGGAGGCAATTAAGCTTTGACCTCTTTCCCACAGGGACCAGATAACGCATTTTCAACACTACCTTTTTCTACTTTTGAGAGGGGGCAACATGACTGGCATGATAAGGGGCATCAAGGTGCTGCATCTCCAATCATTAGTGAGTGAACACAGCCTCACAGTTGCTTTGACATTGGCTATCGGCTGCAGGAAGAGGCTTGTTGGATTAAATTTCCTTTGATAAACTTGACCAAATTCAGACACAGCACAAATATAAATGCTAGGCACAGATGCATAGTAATGACTACTGAATGCCCTTACATTAAAGTAAGGATGCACAAATACTATTGCATTTCTATCCTACCTGTGGGTTTCCAAGCGGCAGGTGATTTGCCATGGGATATTAACATATTATTATTATTTCCATTAATATCAGCTTCATCATTATCATTGCCGCCGCCACCACCACCATTATTACACCCTGCATTTTTCCTTCTTGCACGGAATCCAAGGTGGCTTACATGATCCTGCTCAAAACAACCCTGTGAGTCGGGCTAGCCTGAGAGTCACCCACTGAGCTTCATGGCCAGGTGGGGACTTGAACCAGGAGCTCTTGTGGCCCAGTCCAATATTCAACCTGCTACACCACTCTGGCTCTCTGTATGGGTAGAAAACTGGTCTGATCCAGCATGGTGCTTCCTATTTGGGAGGCCTAGAGCCTGAATTAAAACTGAAATCTATCTTCTGCTATGGCTGACTGATTCATTCTCTTGCCCTGAATGTGGAGAGAATTCTCTGAAATGCACAAAACACATCATGTACGTTCTCTCAGCAGTCCATACCAACACTCCAGCCAATAAGTTTATACTACAGTATTATCCCCATGTCACAGCCATGGCCATGGCCCATGGTACAAGCCTTCTACAGGCAGGATGAGAACATTCAATGCATGATACAGAGACCCAAACCAGTATCACTGCTTCATAATATTCACAATGTTCAAATGTTTTGGAGATGAGAAGGATGCCACAGACATTCTATCTAAACTTACTCAGTTACCTGAGTTTTCCATAATGTGGGCAAAGACCATGCTGGTTGGGGATGACAGGCTATATAGCCAAACACATCCACCAGTCTGGAGAATGCTATTCTAGAATGCATCTTAGTGTATTGGTGTGTTGAAAACCACTTCCCCATGGTGGACTTGGACAGTCTTCCTGTATTCAGCTATCTTCTGAATCTTCCACTACCTGGGTACAGATCCATTATCCTGCCATCACAGAGTCAGCTGCTCACTATGATGTTAGGATGCCTCTGTTTTATCAGACTATTCCTTCTAATGCTGAAGCAGTTCAGTGTTTTATCAACTGGGCAGCAAAGGGGTGCAGCCCATAGAGAAGAAAGTTCCTGAATGTTCACCCTTCACACATACAAAGCCACCAGCCCCCCTCGAGCCCTTTATCTGACCCTGCATGAATGTTTCTGTTTGGTTTTGCTCAGGACTTGCCCAGTTCACACATGAGTTCACACAGATAAAAATTTGGTTTGAAATCCATACATGGTTAATTTTGAATGTGATTGACAGATCAAAAATGCATTTGACGGCATGCAGACATTTGAAAAGATGCACGCAATTGATACATATATGTGGGAAAATATGCATGGATTTTCACACAAAGAGAAAAAAGTAATGTTTGTTTGTTTGTTTATTTAATTTTTCGATTTATATCCTGCCTTTTTCCTACAAAGGGCTCAAGGCAGCTCCTCCTCCATCTTATCCCCACAACAACAACCCTGTGACGTAGGTTGGGTTGAGAGTCTGTGACTGGCCCAAAGTCACCCAGTTGGCTCCATGGCCGAGCGGGGACTAGAACCCAGATCATCTGAGTCCCAGTCCCATGCTCTTAACCACACTGGCTCTCCACCACAGGTTGTTTACAACCTGCTATGTACCTGAATCAGAAAAATTGAGCTTGTGCTTTGCTGGTTCTTACATCCTTCAGTCATTCCTACTCTGTGAGCCTTTAACAAGGTCATAACCGGACTGGAGACCAGGGCAGGTTCATTCCTGGTAAGGCCTATGATATAGTCCAAAAGGTTCTTGCAAGTTCGCTCCTTTACTACTTCAAAGCCCAATATTGCTAATCAAGGAAATATGGCAAATATTTAACCATCTTCCTCATCTATTTGTTTTTTCCCTGAGGAGAAAAATCTGTACAAGGGAAAGCATTTCTAAAAATACTATGCCTCTAGTCTCAACGAGCTACATGAACACATCTCTTAAATGTAATATCACTTAATCCTGCTCCAAAAATGATATTGTTGGGAGAAAATATCTGATTGCACACAGGCTAGATTAGAAAACATGCACTGTGGAGCTTACCTTGCTCTCCATAGGGGGATAGATGATGCTGAGGAAAAAATTGGGGTGGCATGTCTCCAGGCCCAGTAACAGGTGGGTAGAAAGCTGTATGAGAATTATGAATGAAATGTGGATGATGGGTAAGGTATGGCGGAAGGTGGTGGGTTGGAGAAATGGCAGAAGGATAGCTGGGCGGGTAACATTCCGGTGACTGAGGTGTGACCACCACCCTTCGAACACCCGTGTTGTCTTCTATTACCTGAAAAGGGAGGAAACAAGGTTAATATAATCCGTAGACAATGCCCCTTAGTTTAGTAACATGCATATACTTTTGTCTCACAAAAGTGGGGGTAGGTGGGAAAATTATCATGCTTAGAAAGAATAACAGCTATGCCTAAATATAACTAGTGCCAACAATTTTTGGTGGTACTGTAGCTCACGGCAGACATTCAGGCAGCCTTACTAATTTTAGCCAGGCATTCTGTAATTGCTTTAACAATGAGATTTTGAATGGAGATCAAAGAATAACTGTAACATATGCAGCAGTGCTCCCTTTAAAGGATGGCTCTTGCATTTCCCATAAACACCCATGTCAACACAGTTCACTGGACTGATCATGAGCCATGTTTTATTTATTTGTGCCTTTGAACATTGCAAAGTGAAATACTTAAAAAGTGAGAATTAAGATCTAGCAAAGGGATAATCTAAACATGACTTTGTGTGCTTAATTACCTTCTTCAGCTTCATGATAAGCCTGCGTTCTGGGAAGAACTGATGCAGTGTTTTTGAACATCATGCTTATATATGCTATCTGATTACTTTTACAGCCTGCAACTGCAGCTAAACAAACCATGGATCTTCTACCCAGGGTTTATTTATTTATTTGTTCTGCCTCCAGGTGTTTTGGCATTCGGCTCCCATCAGCCTTAGGCAGCATAGCCAAAGGTGAGGTGATAAGAGCTTCGGGCCAAAACATCTAAAAGGCCACTCGCCGTCCCCTCAATGATTGAGTTTATTGTTGCGTTATTTCTCTGACTTGTCAGAGGAGAGACAAGCCATTACTCCTGGTCTGGTCATCACACTTAACAAACCACAGATGGGGGGTGCATGGTTTGTTTTGCCACACCTGCCATTCATGACATGTGGTCCACCTACCATGTATTCAAAGACAGAACTTCCATAAGCTTCCATATAGCCTTAAGTGCCTGATCCTGCCTAATCTTGGAAGCTAAGCAAGGTCAGTCCCAGTTCAAATCTTCATGGGTGACTTAAATGTTGTGAACTGTCCAGAGAGCTTTGGTATGGGCAGTACAGAAATATAATGTGATCATCTTAATCATGTAGATGGTGTATGGGGGAGCTGTTTTTAAGCACAAAAACCAGGTGAGGAGTACAGAATTGCTCTGCACCAACATGGCTAACTCCAGTAGCATCTTTTTACTCAGCAGCAGCCCCAACATTGGAAATAATTGGCTGTGAGAAGAAGTGATGGAAGGGAGTTAAGTCAGAGACATTCAGGCTTCAGCTGCCTTCCCCAGGTGAGGGGAAAGACTGGCACCTGCCGAGATCTGTATCTCTCAAAAGGGCGGCTGCTGCCGACCATAAGAATTTTACTCTCTCCCTCTGGGTGGTGAACAAAACTGGGCCTAGAGAGAGTGTGCATGGAGCCAAAGAGTAAGAAAGACAAGCCATAGCCCAGTAGCAGAGTTATGTATTCAGTAGGTCTCAGGCTGAGTCCAAGGTATCTCTAGCTAAAAGGATCAAGTAAGAAGTAAAGAGGAAAAGCCTTTTCTAAGCCTGTGAGCAACCACCAACAGTTAGAGAATGTCAAGCCACATTATATTACTCTGTGAAACCGACTTTTATATTTCCAATAAGAAGGGTGCTCTGAGGGTGCCCTACACTAAATCTGGAGCCTGTGTTGACCCATGCATTTCTTTTTTAAAGAGATCAAGTCTCTCTCACCCCCTCTTTCCATGCATTTGTGCCAGTTGCACACACAATGCCTGTCTAGTGTAGCTAAGAATGACTGTGGTTTGTTAACCATGGATTGTTCAGCAGTCCATGGGAGCAAACAAGCTGCTTACCAAATGCTCTTCTGCTTGTGATGTGCTGAAGAACTCAGGGACCCCATGTCCATGATGTGCAAACCCAGAACCCTGGTTTTTAAGAATGAAGCAGTATTTGCTTTCATGTGCCCAAAACCCCATGGTTAACACATTACAGATTGCTGTGCACAAAGCTGAGTTTCCCACTCCAAGTGCCCTTGAGCTTAGTTTATTCTGCACTTTCCCAATGGAACTAATGTCTCCTCAAAGTGCTTAGATTTGTCTAGATAATGCACAATGATTTTGATAAGTATTGGTATTTTAGTTGACACTGGATATGTTCAGGGGGGAAAATCTCTATGGGCAGATTAAAAGTTTATTGCTGCATTTATAAGGCAAATCTTGTTTTCACTATTAATGTGGGAATTTGGGACTCTGTATGGTTGGCGAGATTTATCTGAGACATCGTAAAAAATATTTTATCTACTCTTACTTCAGGCTGCCTTTTGTGAAAAGGACAAGGTTTTGATTGTGCCACAAACAGGACTGAATTGAAATGAAAACACCTTTCATGAAAAGTTTGAGCAGGTTTAAAAAGTTGTTCCACTTTTTAGCAGTTTTTTGCAATCATCTCTGGATTAGGCAGCACATACAAATGTGGACACAGAATCAGTCACCAATATCTCTGAATATTACTGGATATTTTGAATATTATCAATGCCTTCTAACTTTTGAATTTCAATACAAAATGTTGTGACTTTACCTGTAACCTGTACACATTCAAGCAAGCCAACAGGCTTAAATAAACCACAGTTGCTTAATTCAGAGGCATATTCTGGACACTATGATCTCAATCCGGTGCCTGCTGCCAATTGCCTCCTCCAGGAGAGGCTTGGTTGGTGGGAACAAGGAGAAGAACCTCTCAGTGCTGACCCCCTGGTATGGAACAAGCTCCCCACTGAGACCCATCAGGTGCAATCTTAAATATTTTTTGGCACCTGGTTAAAATTGTCCTCTATCACAGGGGATTTAATTAGTTATTACCTTGTATTTTGGCTTTGTTGGCTGCTTAAACAAATTTTATGATTTAAGCTATTGTACCTTTTTTGTGTTTGTTTTAAATTTGATTTAACATTGTGTATGGTGCTCTTTTTATAAATTTTTATTGTTTGTATTTTATGTGTTGTAAACTGCCCAGAGAGCTTTGGCTATTGGGCAGCACAGAAATTAAAGAAATACATACATAAAATCCTGGAGCAACAGCAGGCCATTGGTTATCTGAGGGGTGACTACCCTTCAAACAATTCACACTGCCAAGATTCAGATAACACAAGCTGTGCACAATTGGGCAATAAGTGCCAATGATTAAAACAAGCCACCATTGCTTGTTCTGCTCATGTGAACTGCATCGAAGTGTGCCTGTTTTTTTCCCTAAGTTAAGTGTATGGCCAAAGTGCTGGATGGGTATTCAACTTTCATAGAATAGGAGAGGCAGTGTTTGGAGGCACAATGAACATCTGAGCTGGGCTAGGGTCTTCTAGTTTCAGCCAAAACAAGTAGCTTGCTTTTGGGGGCTCAGAACTGGTCTGGGCCAAAGGGCATGAGCGACTCTTTGTGCATGAGTTAAGCTTGCTTGTTTAATGCACACACCCCATGCACATAATTCATGGCAATCGATAAAACAAGAGAGTCCATATTTTGTGACTTTGATGGCACGACCAAAGGTTTAACTGAATTTAGACCTTTTTCTAAGGGACTAGCATTGTTTCCTGTACACGTTTAAAATATAGAGTAACTTGCAACTCATGTTGTTGTTGTTCTTATGTATCATCAAGTCATCTCTGACTTACAGCAACCCATGAATGAATGTGCTCCACAGTGTCCTGTTCATGACATTCTTGCTTAGCTGTTCTAAATTCAAGGCAGTGGCTTCCTTTATGGAGTCAATCCATCTCATATTTGGTCTTCCTTTTCTTCCTGCCTTTGATTTTCATAGCATGATAGTCTTCTGCAGGGAGTCTTGCCTTCTCATGATGTGTCCCAAGTATAACAACCTCAGTTTTGTCATTTTTGCTTCTAGGCAAGGTTCTGGCCTGGTTCTGCTCTATAACCCACTTGCTTATCTTTCTGTCAGTCCAGGGTATTTGCAAAGCTTTCCTCCAGCACCATGTTTCCAATGCAATAATTTCCTTCCTCTCAGCTTTCTCTGCTGCCTAACTTTCACACACATACATAGTGATTGGGTATACAATAGTTTAGATCTTTTCTCGTTCCTTCATTGCTGCCCTTCCGAGTCTCAATATTTTTTGAATCTCTTGGCTGCAATCTTCAAGAATAGGGTAGGGCTGTGTATACAGCTAATATGCACATTACAAAATACAAGGAATGCCAGTAAGATTCAGAGTATATCATGATGAAAAGTTGCAGTGGCTCATCATAAAACACTCCATGGTGTACCACATGGGACGTCACCAATTTAGGCCACAACCCCATCTAGATTAGCATCAGTTTATACTGGGGTGGAAAGTATTTTTCTGATGAAGGCAGAATTTCCTTGAAGAAATCTAGTGGTGGGCAGGATCAAAGTCAAAAGTGGGTGGGTCATCCTAGTTCTCTCTCTGCCACTTCTTTTTTCTTGCTACCATTTCTTTCCAACTGCCAAGGAAAGGGCAGCTGGATGTTTCCAGAGGTCTGAACTGATCACTTCGGGGAACCTTTGAGATTGGGCTGCGTCAAGAATGGTTATGCTGCCCTGGCCTATAATAAGCGGCAGCAGCTTCCATGAAGGTTAAAATGAGTGTTTTTCATAATCCCACCTAGAGGAACAGGGATTTAACTCAAGATATTTGGATGGAATGCGTATGCTCTACCCCTGAGCTAAGGTGCTTTCCCTGTGTATGCCAATGCAAGAGAGCACCTCATAAAACCAAAACAAACCAAACCCAACCAAACCAAACCCAACCCAACCCAACCCAACCCAACCAAACCATAGGACATCCATTCTATGGCTATACATCAAACTGACGTGACCATCTCACAAAAACCAAACCCAAAGAACAAAACAACAAAATGCCCATCTTCCCTCTCACACACTCAGAAAAGTGCTTGTCACATTAGAAGAGACACATAGACCAAAAGGGAAGCCCCTCAGTAAAATGGAGTAGTGGAAAAATATATGTAAAGTTAATTCAGAACCACTGAGAGGGCAGACTGGTGACTCCTAGGTCAGTGGTTCTCCTCCTCCATTGCTGCTTTTCTCTTTAGCTTTGGAGGAGCTACCCATGGTGCTGAACTGCATCCTCACAATGGATTCACCCACATGGAGCACCATGTAAGAATGTGACAGAACTGGGCTCCATCCAACAACCCTACAAGGTTAAAGGCATATGCCAGCTTTTTTCTGTTGATGGCCAGTAAAGTCATCACACGGACACAACATCTGACCTCCCTGCTTCTTGCAGATCATTTTCACAGAACCCTGAGCAGTAAATGAAGCAGCACTGATTACTCCAACTTGCCATCAGTGGGCAGCAAAGGTAATACACAAGTGTAATGCTTCATGTCCAAAGGGTTGGCAGAACAAAATGGAAAAACGGATTATATGGCTTTTGCTTAACAGGCCCTGGTATTTCTCCACAGGAGTATCTGTTTTCAGCCCAGCACTCAAGACATAGGCTTTTGAGGGCCGACCAAACCAAAGTCAAAATATGTTTTTGTTCACAAACCGGTATGTTCTTATTTCCTTTACATCCTTGTCATTTCCATGCCAAAACAAACAGAAGGCAAATTAAATAGTCACTCAATAATCCTATTAATTACCAACATCACTGAGCCCAGGCAAGAGCAAACAAGGGAAATGCAGCTATTATAACATCAGCACCAACAAACAACAACAGGAAACTAAACCAAGTGACTACGACGTGCTTCAAACTGTTATTTGGTATGAAGTCATTTGCAAGCAGAACATTCATTTTCCACATGGCAGGAAGTACATTTCAGCTCAACAGGGGAGAAAAGATAATATATAGGTTTTCCTGCCACTACCACTACCAGCTGCTTTATTTAGATGTAAAGGCTTATTTCATTACATTTGCTCTGCTTGGTAATTTAGAACCGCAATAGACAATGGGTGACCTTGGTGCCATACAGGAAAACAGGTCAGACTGCCTGTCCATCTAACCTGATATTGCACTCACTACCCTGATTAGAAGCAGCCCTCCAGGCCCCCAGGCGGAGCTCCTTTACACAGAATTATAGAATAGCAGAGCTGGAAGGGGCCAATAAGGCCATCAGGTCCAACTCGCTGCTCGCAGGACTCCAGGTTAAAGCATCCCTAACAGATGGTTGTCCTGCTGCATCTTGAATGCCTCCAGTGAGGGAAAGCCCATGACCTCCCCAAGTACGGGTTCCAATGCCATTTTGCTCCAATGGTCTGAAAGCGTTTCTTGATGTTCATCTGGAAACTGGCCTACTCTAATTTGAGCTCAGTATTCCCGGTCCTACACTGTGGGATGATCAAGAAGAGATCCTCGCCCTCCCCTGGGTGACAACCTTTCAAGTATTTGAAAAGTGCTACTCTATCTCCTCAGCTTTCTCTTCTCAGAGCTAAACATGCCCCATTGTTCCAATCTCTGCTCTTCTTTCCAGTTCCCTTGGTCACCCTCCTCTGAACATTTTCTATGTTGTCTAAATCTTTCTTAAACTGGATGCAAAACAGCTCAGAACTGGATGCAGTACTCCAAATGAGATCTAACCAGTGCTGCGTAGAGGGAAACTAGTACTTCATGTGATTCAGAAGTGAAACTTACATTAATGGAACTCAAAATAGCACACACCTTTGCAGCCCCATCCTATTGTTGACTTATATTCAGCTTGTGATCTACAACAATTCCATGACCCTTCCCACCTGTAGTATTACCTGTTACTGGATCCTTTTAACTACTGGTGCATATTGAACTTTGCACCATCTATATCAGCATTTCAAAGAGAGATGGAAAACAGGAGTGTACACTGAATCCATTATATGCAGACTTCACTCTTCTGTTTGGACTTCTGTATGTAATGCTTTTGCTATATTTGATGCCTTAGCTATTCTTGAATACATAATACTTAGCATCTGTATAAAGCTCAGAGCACTCTGCTAATCCCATGAGAAATGTTATTATTATTATTTACACGTATATCCCTTCTATTTTCCTGCAAAGAACCGTAGGCAGTTTGCATAATTCTCCTCCTCTCTAATCTAGCCACACAACAACCCTTTGAAGTAGATTAGACTGTGGGGCCATGACTGGCCCAAAGGCATCCAGTGAGCTGCCTGGCTGAGTAGGGACTTGAACCTGGAATTTCTGAGTCTCCGTGTCACCCCATATTACTGAAGGGGTCACAGAAGCCAAGAGTATGTGACATCCTAAGCACTACCTAGTGAGTTCAGGACAGGGAGAGCTGAACAAGAGATTTCTTAGTTTGCAGTTGAACACAGACTCAGGGCAGGCCTCTTGGTCTGACAGTTACTTGGCAGAAAATAATTCAATTTAAATTATGAAAATCAGAGTATTTGTTAATCACATGGTGAACAAATAAATGAATACCTATGTTTGATTGGTAGGCAAGGCTGTAAATGCAGGTTACTATGTGCATAATGGGTTTTAACAGTAACTGTTATTTTTCAGAGAGACATTTAATATTGTATTTACATTAAAATAAAAATCAATTTAAATAATAAAAATGATTAAAATAAAGATCTGATTAAAATATTTTATTTTATCCACCCTGATTATAATTTTTGCAAAATTCTAGGGATCAGTGTGGGGAACAGGTGATAGATGCCACCCATAGAATGCAGGAGGACTTTTCTTACCTCCCATCCTAGATGTGTGAATGATAAATAAGTTCAGGAGCTGCACTGCTTTTAGTCTGCTCACTGCAAGCACCAAAAGTAAAGCAAAACACATGAATATATATTGCCTGGGGCTAAATGTTCTGAAAATTTGCGTAAGTATAATTTGGGGCATCATTTCAATGTTGCTTGAGATGGTTCATAGGATGAAAATAAGACACATATTTTACACTGCGCAGCTGGAGGGTTGTTGGCCATGCTGGACAACACACCTAGGAAGTGAAAGCCGGCATCATATTCCACTCGGGTCTGTCCTGTATCACAGCTGAAATAGGCCATGGTGGCCTATTCTGGCCATGTGAACTCGTTCCCTGCATCCCTGCATTGACTTGTTTCAATGTATTACATCTATGAAATGCAGACATTAAAAAAAAACCCTAATGGTTGTTTGCTGATGGTCCATACATCTAAGGTTGCACATTGCACCACAGAAGCCCTACCTTATTTTTGCATATTGTTCCTTCATCTTCTATTTAAGGTGATGGCAAAGAGCTGCTCAGAACAGTGACGTCCCTCCTCTTGACAAGTTGTAAATCCTACACTTCCTTCTGAGCTGTCAGTAGTTACTGCTAACATCCTTCCTCTTAAGCCACAAGGTCCGGAAGCCCAGTGTTTGCTTGTTTCAAGAAGGAAAACATAACAGGATTCTGTGGAACTCTGGTAGTACCCATACAGCCCTGTTGGTACCCAAATTGCTGAAGGAGCATACCTGTGATATATACCCTGGAGGCACGTGTATAGGAGGAATGGATCCATTGGGCGACATCATGGGAACCTCTGCAGGTCCTGTTGGGACAAAATAGAGGGATATCAATTTATTCATATGTACTGTGTGGAACGTCTTTATGACATTTGCAGAACCAGTTCTAACATATAATATTGCATGTTTTGTTTGGGCTTGGAATTAAAGGACCATGTTATCGAAGAAATTAAACCTTATGCTCATTTGATATGCTTGGACCTGCTGCGGTTGTTTTACATGTGCAGCAGAAGTTCCTGGAATGCCCACATGATCACACGATGCTGCAGGGGCACATGGGCATTCCAATACTGAGATACTCTGAGAAGAGACATGCTGCTGAGATCAAGCAAAAGGTCTTTTTGAAATACTAAATAGATAAAAAGCCATCAAAAACTTTATACACTAAATAAGCTAAATGTAGGGCCCACCCATCATGAAAATTTCTTCAAAATTCTCCTCCCAAGTCATTTGCAGTGTTTATTGATTTATTTAACAATCACCTTTCTTATAACAGCTTACATTATTGCAGAAACATGTACAATTACAAGTATACACACAGAAAGCAATAATAGCAGCAATAGCTAATTGTTTTTTAAGTGAAAATGTAGACTGGGAAACGCAACTCTTTGTTTTGCTCCCAACCTGCAAGAATTGCAAAGAAAAAAAAAAAAAAGACACACAGACACCAGAAACAAAGGGACAGAAATATTCAGAATTGGCCTTTAAAATTAACCTAAAGCAACCTAGTAAGTTCATGGCTGATACAAGTTTCAAACAAGGAACTTCCCAATCCATAGCACGATTTCTTAGCCACTATAATGCATCAGCTCTTAATGGTATTGAGTGAACCATGGACTAACATTCACTTAAGTTTAGCCAGATGAACTATCAGGAAAACATGCAGAGAGTCACACTGAATAATACTGACTGGGCAGTCTGGAGCCCACCAATTTTATGTAATATTCAGCATAAAATTTTTGGCCTTGGGGAAATATATGGTTGCTGCTAATTTTAGAGGAATATATATATATTCTGAAAAAAGTGCTGGACATGAATTTTGCATTTGTTCCCACTGAGCAAACAGCGACTATCCATTTAATAAGCAAAGTGAATTGCCATTCACAAGTGTTGCGAGTTCCTAGCTTGCCGGCCTAGATAAACTTTCCCTTTGTGAGAGCCGAGTCAAGTTTCCAATCGCACTCAATTTTACATATGTGAAGAGCTATCTCAGGAACATGTGAAGACCACAAAACTCATTAGATCAGCAATTCATAGTAACCAAGGAATGTGGTTATATAAGCAAGAGACTTAAAGTTTCCACTCAAAACTCCAATCTTGGATGTGAGAGTTCCTTTCTGAAGTATCAGATATAAATAAAGCAATGCATGTGTCATAAGCATTAGGATCCACAGCTATATAAATCTAGGTGAAATGGAAAATAAGAAACCATACAGGGAACAATTTAAAGGTACTGTAGGCCTTTTTTCTATAAAACTTCTAACCACGCGTCCCAAGTCTTCCAAGCTTCCAAGCCAGAGCAAAGCTTCACCACCCAACCAAAAATACTTTATTAAGGTCAGAGATTTCTATAAAATTATTGGTTTTCCAGTAATTGTTGCCAAAATGCCATAGTTACTTCATGGGAAAAAGCCTCTCCATGAACTCAGCTTTTTAAGAATATGGAAACAAACAAGAGCTTTGAGGAAATCATATATCTTTGGAAATCATCTATTTTCCTAATTCAACAACTATTTGTTCAATTAATTTTTAATTATTATTTTTTGTTCAGTCGTAAATTTGTACCCAACTCTTCATGACCCAATGGACAACATTCCTCCAGGTTGTCCTGTCCTCCACCATCCCCCAGAGTACATCCAAACCCACCCCCACCCCTCCAGTGACCCCATCCCACCAGCTCAACCTCAGCCATCCCCTTCTCCTTTTGCCTTCAATCATTCCCAGCATCAGGATCTTTTCCAATGAGTCCTTCCTTCAATTTTAAGGAAGGACTCAATTTTATACATGCATTTAAAAAATTCATTTTAAAGGACTAATTAAAAATCCATAATTATATGGTGGACATGATCTAGCCAAAGCGATCTAGCCAAAGTGATTCCCAGCTCTGTATCAGCTACTCTGACTTCCCCAAAGATGCAGTTTGAATGAACATGGGAAAATACAGAACTTGCAAAAACTATAGAAGTCATGCAGCTTAAAAAACAAAAACAAAACTTCTTACAGAATGTTGCTTATGGTCCTGATCTCTTTCACAAGCAGCAGCTCTTCAAGAGTGTCTACACTGATCAAAGTCAGAAACAGCTTGAGCACCTGTGGTGAATCCCATCTAGGCAAGTAATTGCACATTGGAAGATAATTCATCTGTCCCCCCATCCTTCCCCCTTCTTCAAGTCAGTGATGTGCCATTAAAGAATCTCTAATGTAGGAATGTCTAGGCAGATAGGCCAGTAATTTTCATAGGTGTTTTTTCAGGACTGGTACTAAAATTGAGACAAAGTGGACTGAATATACATAGATGCCAACCATGAAATACTGTGTATCAGTTTAAAGCTCTGTCAGACTGAAATGAGTGATGACTATATGCCATCAAGTCAACTCCAACTTCTGGTGACCCTATGAATGAGAGCCCTCCAGATTGTCCTATCCATGACAGCCCATGTAAATTCTAGACTGTGGCTTCCTTTATGGATTCAATCCTTCTCATATTTGGTCTTTCTTTCCTGCTTCTGCCTTCAACAGCCCCTAACATGACTGTTTTCTCAAGGGAGTTTGGCCTTCTCATGATGTGCCCAACGTATGACAGCCAGTTTTATTTTTTTACTTCTGGAGAAAGATTTGGCTTCATCTGAACCAGGAACCACTTGTTTGTCTTTCTGTCCATCCAGCATACTCGCAAAGCAATCCTCCAGCACTGTTTTGAACATATAATTTTCCTCTTGTCAGCTTTCTTCACTCTCCAGCTTTCATACCCAGACATCATGATAATAATTACTAAGCTCCATTACATGCAATGAAACTAAAACCCTGCATTCACATGTAAAGCTAGACCATGGTTTAGTGCCATGTGGATGAACCTCTGCATGCCTGAGCAAGCTTCAAGTCTGCCTAAGGCTCAAATATGGCAGGAGGAAACCTTAATCGGGATTTAGTTTACTTTCCCGGCTTGTCATAACAGATATAGATCAAATATCAGTCAGTTTTTAAATAAGGCAGCAACAAACCCCAACCTATTTAGCAGCTTGTTTATCAAACTTTTTAAAATCGCAGTTCATGGTCCAGAAATTGGGAAAGCAAAAATAATTCCTGGTTACATCATCTTCCTGACTGCATGGGGGAATAAAAGGGGGGAGGGAAAGTGTGCACATCCTGAACTTCACTAGGACCTACAGAAAGTCAGACAAGTAGCATCCAATCCTGGCTTTAGGTTTAAGGTATCCCTGGCCAACATTAGTCCGGCTGAACTAGTTCCACTGGTTTCAGTAGGATTCAAGTCATGATCCTTAGCTTGATTGGAAATACAGCATTTAATTCATCAGCTCCTCAGAAGCTGTACTGAGCTAAATTAACTTTACTTAAAACAAATACCCAGCAAGCTCAACACACATTTCATTCATATCTGTATTACGAACAGTTTGTCACAATAGGTACCACAGATGTCAACATTTCCCAGAAATTAACAAAGAGGCACCAAATATTTCAAAAACATTTCTTCACTTTCACTTCAAACAGGTGCTATCTGGTTCTGACACCCAAATTCTCCTTGATTAGAACCTGTTCAAAAAACATCTGTCAGTTGGTCTATAAACAAAAGCCACCTTTCAGCTGCTGAAATTGAATTTTTACACAGCAGACTCGGCTGTCTGTAAATGCTTTGAATTTAATAAGAAAGATTGTGTTTTATCATCAAATGTGTACTGCACAAGCAGACTTTTAACCTCAGGTGTGACCCTCAGACTGTGAAAGTCATTTGGTTAAATTGTTTTAAAGAATCTTAGACAGGTGAATGATTTACTGCTCTTTGGCATTTTCTTCACTATCTTGATTACAGGACTGAGAAAATGACTTTAACATACATTTCATTTTGGTCTCTCACTGCCATTATTAATACAACTTGAAGTGGTAACTACTTATGGTACGTAGTGACCATCTCCCACATGGGATATCTCCTTGGAGCATTTGCAAGCCTGATCTTGGAAACAGGGCCTGCAGAAACTAGTGCTAAAATAGCAGCCAGGAACTTTGCAGCTCCATTGCTAAAAAAAGCTATATTGTACGTGTGCCCTGTTGATTTTGAGGGATTTCTCCCCATGCTTCATCAGAAATGGTTCAAGGTGGTCTACAAACAAGCAGGAGCCACTTAAAACAATACATTCAGTGCCCTGAATTCACACAGTCCCATACTTGGGGTGATTCTCACAAAATAGTCTGCAAGCTACTTCTGTCTTCTCCCTCTCCTGTTATGCACTGGCATCCAGAATGTACAGCTCTGGCACCTGCATTCCACCATTCCACTCCTGGGGAAATGGGCTACAAGTTATTCAGTGCATGCACCAAGAGTTGTCTGCAGCAGGATGGGGACCAACAATTGTGCCCATTAAATCACACAGCCATAGCCTACTTGTATGGCCATCACATTCACCAGATGCCTACGCATCAAGTAGCCCACAACAGAGGGAGTGCAGGCTTTCCTTCTCCCAGCTCACCATCCTGAATCAATAGCTCAATTTGGCAGGTAGGGTATACTTTGCCATCTCCTAGCCAAGGCTACCCATTTAATCTGAAACAACCTCCTTTGTGCAATTACTTAAAGTTTTACAGAAACAGCTCCATGGGACGTTCTGATATTTGTGCAGAAAAGCCCATTTTGCAAGTTAAAACGTGTTGGGGAGAAGTGATTCTTCCATGCTTGGCACTGCAGTCTGAGCCTGTTAAAATTCCCTCTTCTAAATGGACAGATTGACTCTGTTACTGAAGGAGAAAGAAGACACTGACTTCTATCAAACTTGGGACCTTTTTTATGACCGGC